CCGAGCCTTCTGGGCAGGCCGCCTTCTCCTTTTCAGTCCTTGCCTGGTGGCTTTTCTGTCAGCTCCTCAACGCAGAAGTCTGCCTGCTGTGCGATGACCTGTTCGGCTCGCCGTCGAGATCGTTTTTTCTCAGGGACAACGTCTCACTGACCGGCGTCACGGGACAGGCACCCCCCCCTGGTGGGGCCGCTTCCTGGCTGCAGGAGTCCACGTCGTGGCTGGTGTCCTGTGGCCCTGGGGATTCGGCAGCCGTCCTCCCTTGCGAGCATGTGGAACAGCAAGGGCGCCCTCGAGGGCGCGAAGCGCTTCGCGCTTCGGCTCCGATTCCTCCTCATCCTCCTCTTCTCCCCTGGGGAGGGGGCGGCGCGATAGCACAAAGTTATTTGCGCGGCGCGGAGCGCGAAGTTGGGCGCCCTTGAACATGATCCCCCCTTGATCATCGGCAGCCCCAGCGGCGAATACTGCCGTCTTGCAGCTATCTGGTATCGCCGTCGTGGCGCAGTGAATGCTGCCGGATCGTAGTTGTCTCGGGGGGCTTGGCATCGCTCGGACGTGTGCATCTTCCTCGGCGAGGAACACCGAGGAGCATCCCAAAAAACACGCACGACGCCGAAAAAGTCATCGAGTCCCACAAGAAACAACACCGACAAAAATCATCGAGCCGAGAACATCGGGCGAGGAGCATCATCGAGCCCCCAAAAAACACGCACGACGCCGAAACAGTGCGCGGGGAGTGGACGCCCGAGCGACGGCGACTCTCGGGAGGGGGGCACGCGCCTCGACGAGGTGCGACGGCGGTGGCTGCCCGCGTCTGGCAGCCCGGCGCACGGCTTCTGGTCGTCTTCGCGGCGTGCCTTCAGGCATTCGATCGCGCATTTGCTTCGCATCGCGTTGGCTACGAGGAGATGAGCACGTGAGGCTTCCAAGTTCGACCAAGTCATTGTACACCCCCGCCCCCCTGACGTGGACCAGTTACCCACCTGAGCTAACCGGGACCTCGGTGACACCGAGCCTGGCCCGCGCGAAGTGAGCGTGAGACGTGCGCTTCTGCCACACACGTCTCGGCATGATGCTCTGGCATCTCACTTGGTCGGCACGTATTGCAGCACACCTTTGCGTTCGCGTCGCAAGACGCTTTCACAAGCAGGACACATACGATTGAGTTGGTTGACTATTTAAATTTACGTAGATGAGCGCACGTTGAGTGCATGCAGGGCGTCTTGATAGCGGCACTTTGGGTTCAGGCCCACGGCACCCAGCACAATGGCAATGCGGCCGCGTGGATGATTTGCGGTGGGCGTATGCTGTCCAAATGCCGGCGGCGAATGCAAGCGAAGGCTGGATTCAGAGCACGAAGGGCGAACGCAGCGCACTGCGTACACTTTTGTCGGCAGGCGTCACGTCGATGCGGGTGGGTGAGGCATTCCCAAAAACCTATGATACGAAGGAGTCCGATGCAAAACATCATCGGATGAGGGATTCGCAGAAGCAGATGAAAAGAGGAGACAACCGAAGATCCAGGCAGGTGGGCCGCACCCTCAGTGCAGAATCGGACGATCAGATTGCGCGCTGCCCATGCAAGGTAGCATAGCATCTTGTACATTACACGAGCGTAGCACAGAGGAAGACGAAGAGAGGAGGGACGACGGTGCCACTGACCCACTCTGTCACAGACGCGTGATGAAAGTACCCGAGCTGCAGCAGTTGCATGAAACAGCAACGCAGCAGTGGGAGGAAGGGATGGGGCCCTTCGAACGCTTAGGTTCTACATGAACGAGCATTGGGTCGGAGACGCACTGAAGAAGTGCGGCGTCAGGAGCGGCATTGCTATGTCTCGGAACACGTTTGATTCATCTGTTAGCATTGCAGCGAGATCCGGCTGTCGTGCCCGCGAGCCGATGCCATTTGTCACCCTTCCTTCCAGGCATTGGATTTTTGAGGCACCCCGAGGGATGTCGGCGCAAGGATTGGCATGTGCAACCAGCGGGCTGTAGTTGTTGTCCTCGCTTTCTCCTCTCCGAATGCATGAGGGGGGGGGAGATGGAACGCGCGGGCGCACCCCAGTGTGGCTCGATGTTTGAGTTTGCGTGGGTGAGAGAGATATATATATATAGAGAGAGAGAGAGAGAGACAAAACAAACAGAGAGAGAGAGAGAGCAACCGTCAGAAGCTGGAGGTGATAAACTGAGCGCGGGTCCTCAATGCGATAACACACTCAGCAGTTGGTGATCCGAGATGCGTTCGAATTGGGCCATTGTGGGCCCACGGGCAGCAAGCGACCTCACCTGTTGAGGCTTTATGAAGCTCCATATTGCAGGGAGCGAAGTGCGTGAGGACAAGTCTTCTTGGGTCCACGGCGAGTGCACGAAGGAATCCACCAGCGTTTGGTTAATGGGCATCAAGCTGAGTCTGCCTGCGTGTTACAGTGGGGGCCCATGCCAAGAAACACCCTGCTTGCCTCCAGGGTGCCTTGGGTTTGGGTTTCGATGGTTTTGCCATGGAAAGCGTGACGTCCCACACCAGAACTCGATGAACGTCCAGGGGTATCAGGGTTGGGTTTCTTGTGGAAGGTCTCTTGTGGTCGGGCCCCTACTGTATGTTTGGCAGCGCTTCCACTGGGCTTGGCTGCAAACATGACATGGGGCCGCTGCAACAGCATCGATGCTCCGGCGCTCTCGCCTTGGACGTGGCTCAGCGTCGGACGACGGCGGGACGAGTCGGACACTGGACCGCACGCAAGCTGCGAGAGCAAACCCCGATCGCTTTAGGTAGCCACCTCAGCGTGCGCGCCAATGATTAGGGGAACAAGCAATGACACGAAATAACAACCCGGAGGTCCGCGCGGATTTCTCGGATCGGCGCTGGGGCCCCCTGGCGGCGCCTCCGGCGCCGCCCCTGGCGCGCTCCGCGTGCCAGGGAGGGGGGCCCAGCGCGGATCCGAGAAATCCGCGCGGACCTCTGAGTGTTTGTGTTTATGTCGTTCTTCGTTCCCCTAAGACACCCCTCAGCGTGCGCGCCGATGATGCCAGCCCTGGGTGCCCGAGCCTGCACACCGTACCTCAGGAGCCCGCGCTGCGAGGAGGGGCGTGGTGGCAATCACGCGTCCCGAGGCTGTCCCTCAGTGCCTCGGTGCCCCATTGACTGTGTCATCTCCGAGCTTCCACGGCGCCCACCCACCGCTCCTCCCTCCCGCGCCCTCCCCGTCCGCGAGTGCGCGCCTGGTCTTGACGCCTGGGACGGGGGCGCTGGCCGCTCGCATCAGACAGCGCGAGGAGGCCTTCGCAGCAGCAGCAGTTGTCCAAGATGCTGCTGCTCTGTTCTGCCGCAGGGGCCCCCGAGGCAAGCCGTCGTTTCCTCCTCCTCCTCCTCCTCCTCCTCCTCCTCCTCCTCCTCCTCCTCCTCCTCCCCCGCCTCCTGGGCATCGATCTGACTCGACCCTGTCGTGGCGTCAGGGAAGGCATCGACCTGGCGGTCGGAGGGACGGGGCGGACGCCTTCAGCCCACCCCCGCGCTCTCGGCGAGCGTCGGCCCCAGCGCCCTCTTGCGCCGCCAGAGCCCCGGCCCTCCCGCCCTCAGTGGGCCCTGGAAACGACAGGGCCGTCCCTGTTTTTGTCGGTTCGCTCCGTTTTGCCGTTTTCTGCCGGGTCCGTCGCCGTTGTGCTGCCGGCTCCGGTTCGGGCTCCGATCCCGGAGCCGTTTGTGTTGCCGTGTTTGGTCGCCGTTTTGTTGCCCGTATCCGTTTTCCAGAGAGATGGTTTCGAAAACGGTGAACAAACGGCCCTGCCGCTTCCGTGGCCCTCTATGAGCTCCCGCCGTTCCCTTGCGGGGCGCAGGGCAGGGAACTGGGCGGCCGGGGGATCAGGGTTTATCCCAAATCCTTCGATCCGAGCCGTTTTGGTCGATGGCTTCCGATTCCGATCCGATGCGGTTTCGGCTTCCGAGTTGCACCTCGACTTCTCTGCGGAGGCCTCGCTATAGCCCGCCGAGCGCTGCCGATCTGACTTCTCCCGACCTGGCTGCCGAGTTCCGCCGATCCGATGCAGTTCGATCGCCGATCCGCCTGCTCGACTCGATCCTGGGCTCTCCCGGGGACGGGCTGGGGCCTTAGGCGCGTTCCGGGCCAGCCAGCTTGGCGAAGGCCTCCGACGGCCTCGCCCAGGAGGGGCCCTCCCACGTCTCCTCCTCCTCCTCCTCCTCCTCCTCCTCCTCCTCCTCCTCCTCCTGCCCAGGAGAGACGACGTGTTCTTGGCGTCCAAGGTGTGGAACGACACCATCTACGCTGGGCCCGAAGCCGTCAAGGCTGGCCCACGCCTCCACGCGCCCTCCTGCTCCGGGAGGAGGGCGGCGGGGGGGGGGGGGGCAGCTCGAGGGCCCCCAGATGGCGCGGTTGCCACACCGTGTGGCGAGTCAGTGGGGATTCGGGGTCATCGCACGGTTTTGGGACTTGGGGCCTTACCCAAGGAGCCGAACTCTATGCAGCGACGCTTTTCTGGCCCCGCAGTGAGACTCGCACAGGAAAGCGGATCCTGGTGTCTACATGTTTCGTTGTTTCCCTGGGAAAGCTGGGGACAAGTATACACCACACCACCCCGCCGTCGTCCCCGACCCTCAAAAAGTCTCGGGATTGAAGAACACCCCTCTATTGGTAATGTAGATGCTCCAGTTTCCGATGCCCGAGGATGTTCAGAGCCCCGAATCATCATGACCCAGGGTGGCCAGGGGAGTAGCCTCGGGGGCCCAAAGCGAAGTTGCCCCAGGTCGGAGTTATCCCGGCTCACTCAGGCGTCCGACTGCTCCCGAATCATCGGGGCTGGGGGGGGGTCAATGGTATTTCCTGGTACGTGCGTCGGGGGCCCAACCGGAGCTACTCTGGACCGGTGCCATCCTGGACAACTCGAGCGTCTAAAGACGTCTCGGGCGGCTGCTGCCGCCGAGGGCCCGACGCCGTGCGGTGGCGGACCGTGCAGTGAGGTCGTCGGGGGTCCCGAGATCACCGCACGGTCCGTGGCCGCACTGCTCAGGGAGCCCCAGGCAGCGCGGGTCGAGGGCACAGAGACGCCAAGGCCAGAGAGGAGGCACTGCGGGTGTCTCCCTGGCCCCGAAGAGGAGGAGGGTTGTCATCGACCAGCCCGAGGGAGAAGAGGGGGAGGAGGGGGAGAGGGAGGGGAAGGAGGAGAAGAGGGGAGGAGGGGGAGAGGGAGGGGAAGGAGGAGGAGGAGGAGGAGGAGGAGGAGGAGGAGGAGGAGGAGGAGGAGGAGGAGGAGGATGAGGAGGAGGAGGAGGAGGAGGAGGAGGAGGGAGGGAGGAGAGGAGGGAGGGGGGAGGGAGGGAGGAGGAAGGAAGGAGGATAGAATGTGGAAGAGGAGGAGGGAGGAGGATAGGATGGGGTGAGGGGGAGGGGGAGGCGAAAGAAACGGATGAGGAATGGAGGAGGAGGAGGAGGAGGACGACGAGGAGGACGAGGAGGAGGAGGAAGATGAGGAGGAGGAAGAGGAAGAGGAGGAGGAAGAGTCTGAGAAAGAGGAAGAGAAAGAGGAGGAGGTGGAGGAGGAGCAGGAGGCAGGACGAGAATGAGGAAACGAACATGCGGAGGAGGAGGAGGAGGAGGAGGAGGAGGAGGAGAGCGAACCTCCAAGGCTCAGGTCGACAAGACCATCTCGGAGCTGCAGTGTGGCCACCTCGACCTCTGCCTGGTCCACTGGCCAGTGCCGGGCAAGGCCCCGCGCGCGCAATTTACACTCCCTCTCTCGGCGGCGAGCCTATGGGGGGAAGTGAGAAGGGGCGGGTCTTCTCAGAAGGCTCGGAAGTCCTCTGGCCTTCTGAGGAGAAGTTTTCTAAGCTTTCCCCGAAGACGCAGAACATTTCTCAGAAGGTGCGAGGGCTTCTTTGAAGTTCCACCGCTTTGTGAGAAGGTCTCCTCCTTCTCACTTCACCCTCTCGCTCGCCGCCGACTCTCTCTCCCTGTCCCTCTCCCTGGGATTGAGAAGCGTCCGAAATTAGGGGAAGCATCGGGAATCGAAGAAGAAAAAACGGCATAAACATTAACTTTTGGCGTCGGAGCTCAAGAGACGGGGGTCAATGCAAACGGGGGTCAATGCAAACGGGGGTCAGCCAGGGCACCAGATCCAGCAGGATCGCGCGAAGAGTCCCTCTGGCTGACCCCGGTTAGCGAGCCGCTCGTGGCCGCGAGGCGGCTGCGCATATTGGCTGACCCGGGTTTGCGAAGCCCTGCGTTGCACCTTCTTTTTCCCTGCATTTCGGTTGTTTGGTGTCCTGCTGACCCGGGCCTGGTTGACCTGGGTCCGCAGATCCCCGCTCCGCGCGGATTTTTGGGATCTGCCCGCGCTGGGCCCCCCCGGAGACGCCTCCGGCGCCGCCCCCGGCGCGCTCCGCGCGCCAGGGAGGGGGTCCAGCGCTGTACATGCTGTCGACGCCGTCGCGCCTTCTCCTCCTCACCTCCCCCCCCGCGCTCGCCGCCGGCGGTCGTCCCCGATGCACCCCTCGCGACCTTGGGAGCACCCGCCGGGCCCGGGAGGCGCGGCAGCGGGCGAGAGGGCGAGGGACGGCGCGCGCCCCCGAGCACGTGGCCGCCTACAACGCGCTCCGGGAGTGCAAGGCGGCCGGCAAGGTCAAGGACGCGGCCGGCAGGAGGACGGAGGAGGAGCAGGAGCAGGAGGAGCACCAGGACCACGATCAGGCAGGAGCAGAAGAGGCGAGGGAGGAGGCGGAGGCGGAGGCGGAGGCGGAGGCGGAGGAGGAGGAGGAGGAGGAGGAGGAGGAGGAGGAGGAGGAGGGAGGAGGAAGGAGCAGCAGCAGCAGGGGGGGAGGGAGAGGGAGGGGAGGAAGAGGGCCAGCAGGAGGAGCAGGAGGACCCCCACGAAGGAGTGACGCGTGCGGTCGGAGAGGGCGATAAGGAGATGTGAGAAGTGGGAGGTGGGAGACGGGCGGGGGGACGGGCCGAGGCAGGCGAGGGCGTAAGAGAGAAGGAGGGTTAAGTCGGGCCTGTCCCTCTACAGGAGGAGTAGTCCAAAATAGTCAAAACATAGTCCGGGGACTATTTTTTTAGTATATTGGAGTATTTGTTAGTATTTCTTGGGGTATTTTTGAATTTGTGTCCCAAACCCCTAGGGGGACACGCCCGATTTGAAAGGAGGGAGAGGAACCAATTAGGGGCATGGAGCGAAGCTGGCAGAAGAGGGGGAGAGGGCAGGGGTTGGAGGGTTTCTCTGAAGGGCTTAGGCGACCCGTCCTCCTCCTCTCTACTCCTCTCTCCTCCTCCTCCTCCTCCTCCTCCTCCACCTCCTCCTCCTCCTCCTCCTCCTCCTCTTTCTCCTCCTCTTCCTCCTCCTCCTCCTCCTCCTCCTCCTCCCCCTCCTCGCCCTCCCCCTCCTCGCCCTCCCCTCCTCGCCTACGGCGTGGGGGAAACCGTCCAAGGAGGGGATGGGGGGTGGGAGTGGAAGGGAGGGGGTAGACGACGAAGGAGGGAGAGGACAGAGAGAGGGAAGGGGTGTGGGCTGTTGTTGTTGTCGTCGTCGTCGTCGTCGCCGTCGTCGTCATTGTTGTTGTTGTTGAACATTATTAATTCTAAAGAATAATTATTGTTGGGCCCCCTGGTGCGCGCCCCCCCCGCCGCGCCTAGGCCGCAGCCACGTTTTCATCATTTTCGTGAGGAAGCCTCAGGTAATTCGAGGTGATCAAGATCCGGTTGTTTTGTTGTAATCCGTTTTCCCTTGCAAAAAACACTATAAAATGAAATTTCTTGTTCTAATATAATCAAATTTCAAGAATCCCTTGCAAAAAATAAGGTAAAGTGGACATTCGCGCGCGCAAGACGAAATCCTTCCAAAAGCTTAGTGTTCGGAGCGATTTTAACATAAAAACATCAAAAAACCAATGGTTTTTCAACAAAAAATGTCAAAATCTCATCCCGCGCGCTCTTGCGGATTCGTAGGAAACCCAACACTTTTTAAACATTTCTGTCAAACGGGCTTTTGCGAGCAACTTTTTCGAACTTCTGCGACAACGGTTGCGCACCTGCCAGGGCCATCATCCCTGTCAAATAATACCATGCGGGACAGATTCGTTTTTTTGCGGGACATACATCCCCGAATAAGTGACCAAGTTCTGTGGGTGTGTACCCCACGCCAGTGTAGTAGCCACGGTCGTCCGCACGCCACGAAGTGAAGTGTCCCAACGTCATAGGGCGGGAAGCTGGGTTTGGGTGGTCGCGAAGAGTCGTTTGGATATTTGGTAGAGCTTGTAATGCCCCCCCACGAAGTGGGGGTATTGCCTGGTGTCGTATGAAAACCCTGGCACTGGGGAGAACACCACGCGTTCGGGTAAAATGATTGTTGTTGTTGTTGTTGTTGCTGTTGGTGTTGTTGTTGTTGTTGTTGTTGTTGTTGTTGGTGTTGGTGTTGGTGTTGGTGTTGTTGTTGTTGTTGTTGTTGTTGTTGTTGTTGGTGTTGTTGTGGTTGTTGTTGTTGTGGTTGTGGTTGTGGTTGTGGTTGTGGTTGTGGTTGTGGTTGTTGTTGTTGTTGACGAAACCACTCACTGGCGCCGCCCCCCCCCCCACCCCCACCCCCGGCGCAACGCAACGCAACACAACGCAACGCAACGCAACGCAACGCAACGCACGTTACCCCGAATCCTGTAGGATTCCGATGGGAATCCTATAGTGCCTCCGCGAACCTTATAGGAATCCGATCGGAATCCCACAGGAATCCCATAGGGCCTGTACGAACCCGATGGGAATCCCATGGGAATCTTATAGAAAGCTTTTAGGTCCTTTACGAATCCGATGGCAATCCCATAGGAATGCGATGGGAATCCTATAGGGCTTTTTACGAATCCGATAGGAATCCTATATGAAGCCTGTAGGAAACCTATAGGGCCTTGATGTAGGATTCCTATCGGAATCATATAGGAATCCCATGGGAGTCCTATAGGGCTTTTAGGATTCCGATGGGAATCCCATAGGAATCCTTTGGAAATCCCATAGGGCATCTACGAATCATATACGGATCTTATAGGAATCCTTTTTGGGAATCCTATAGGGCCTCTGCGAAGCCTATAGGAGTCCTATAGGAATGCCAGAGGAATCCTATAGGGCGTCTACTGATCTTGTAAGGATCCGATCGGATTCCAATGGGAATCCTGGAGGGCCTCCTACGGATCCTATGGGAACCGAATAACTAGGAATCCTATGGGGATCCTATAAGGCCGCTGCGCATCCCATGGGAATCCTACAGGAATCCGATAGGGCCTCTACGAACCCTACTGGGATCCTTTGGGAACCCCATACTAATCGTATAGGGCCTTTACGAATCCTATATGAATTCTATAGCAAACTCATAGGAATCCTGTAGGGCCTCTGCGAATCTTGTAGGACTCCTATAGGAGTCTCATCGGATTATTCTAGGACTTGTTCGAACCCTATAGGACTCCTATAGGAATCTGATAGGAATCCCAGAGGGCCTTTACATATCCTATAGGACTCCCATCGGAATCCTATAAGGCGTCTACGAATCCAATGGGATTCCTATATGACTTTTTACGTATCCTATAGGGCCTCCACGAATCCTCTGGGGATCCCATAGGCATATTATAGGAATCCGAGAGTGCCTCTACGAATCCTATAGGAATCCTATGGGAATCCTATAGGGCCCTTGCGAATCTTATAGGAAGGGCCTTTACGAATCCTATAGGAATCCGGCGGGAAGCTTTTACGAATCCTATGGGGGTCATATTTCGGATTCTTATTGGAATCCCATAGGGCATCTGGCCTCACAGGGATTTCCTCCGAAGCTTGATTTCGGCACATCCGTCTCGAGGATCGTGGCCCTGGCCTCAGAGGGCTCCTCCGAAACTGAATTTGGGCACCCTTCTCGAGGATTGCGGCCCTGGCCTCACAGAGGGTTTCTCCGAAGCTTCATGTCGGCACACCCCTCAAGGACGATCGTGGCCCTGGCCCCACAGGGAGCTCCACCCACGCTTCATT